GAGAGTGTGAGTGGTAACACCTGCTCCCCCGTAACACTTGAGACCTGTGACGCTAATGGGTTTCATGACACTAGGGAGGGAAAACGGCTACTTGGGCCTGATTTGGGCATTGTCACTTAGGGGTGTACTCACTTTTGTTGCCAGCGGTTTAGACATTAATGGCTGTGTGTTGCGTTATTTTGAGGGGACAGCACATCTAATAATAATAATTTATTATCATTGTAAAGTATATACACATACAACGAAATTCACAAACTGTTATACAAACTGTATACTCACTGTAATACATTGTAGTCAAGTATCATTTCTTCAGTGTTGTCACAAGATAAGATATACTAAAATATTTATGAAATGTGAGGGGGTGTACTCACTTCTGTGACATACTGTATTGTGGCTTTATGTTTTCTGTATCTAGTACATCAAGAATTTGAGTAAAAACAGTGGTACAGGAACTCCTAACTTAATGGCCGAATTCCGTTCTTATGACTAGGTTGTTAAGTGAACTGGTCAATAAGCAAGGAGCAATAATAGTGTATAAAGGAGTAATAAATCATGTGCTGTTGAGGAGGGGTGTGGGAAAGATGAAAGCAAGGATTTATGAGGGTCATAAAGGATCATAAATCGGGGTGGTTGTTAAACAGATTGTCAAGTGAGGAGTGCCTGTATAACATTTTAATGCTGTCATCCTTCCGGTAAATACATAAAAAAACCTATTCACCAGGGAGTTTTCGGGCTATAGTGGATGTTGGATGAATTCAATTGTATGTAAACTGCCCAGAATGGCCTAATAGCTACATGGGTGGTTGAGTACCTTTTTCACCCTCCTCTTCATCTTCAAATATGAGGTCAGACATTAATGAAAGAAAGCCATAAACTGAATTGGTGGTCTCTTCTACAGCACCCTGTATGAGTCTCAGTGGATCAGTGGCGAGTTTGCTTACTGATTGACCTGGATATAAAATATAAAGATACAAATGATTAGGAAATCAGACCTGGTATTCATTACATTTTATGTGACAAGTTTATTGATTTTTTTAAATCATGAAAGGTAACTTTTCAAGGAAATTAGCTGTGATAAAATGATGCTAAATATCTGCACGGGTCCCCCAACCCAATTTCATACAGAGTGAATCTGGGCCAGATAGATATAAGGACAGCCAAAGACACCAACACTTTGCTCTCAAACAGATGTGCTGTTGAGTACACAAGCAGGCTGATGCATGAGTCATACAACCAATCCACATCAAAAACCCAGTTCGTGAGCAACAGGAGTTCCTAAAAAAATTGGAGTGCTTTAAGAAATAGCCAAACCTGTGGCCATTGTATAAGCTGTTAACTCTTCTCAATTAGCCTCTCTTGTCTCATGGCAGCTACAGTAAGAAGTCAATTATTCTACACGCAGTGCTTGTTGGCAGATTGTTTTTGTTTAGTCATTTAGCCGACTCTTCGTTGGCAGATTAGCATATCCTAATATATATTCTGTTCATTCTGCTCCATATTCCCCGTCAGTCTTCCAAGAAAGCAATCCACTTCCCAGTCCACAGATCAGTATAAACCAAATCAATGTGCCGCTCTGTAAACTGTGACCTAACACTGACACAGGGCTTCTCTCATTCAGAGAAACAAAATCTTGGCTTCTGCAGTTTGCCTGTAATATTAATAGAATGGAAAGTGCAAGAAACTACTGACTTTGCTATAGTTTAATTAATTGGAAAATACCATGTGAAACTGTACAGACTGAAAATTAGACTGATGTTGAGAATAATTTCCAATACAACCTTGCAATCTGTGAATCTGCAGAAGGGGAAATGGAGGAAATCTAATTTATTTTTTTGAGATTTATATATTTTGGTCCCCTACTGCTTTCTGCTATGATAAGCAGGACAGCCAATATGCATGAGCGGAATTTTCCTCACATCACTAATAATGTGTTCTGGATTAGAGAGTTGCAGTTAGTCTTGTCATTGCCCCCATCAGTCATTCAGGTATCTGGCTGTGGAGCCATCGGTTGGGAGTTTGATTCCTCACTGTGCCTCTTAAGCAGGGCCTAGACTCAAGGATGCATAGGGTTCCTTCCAGCTCTGAAATTCTAAGATGATGATGGTGATGAATATTATTCAAAAATACCAGGCACAGTCAATCAAAATTATAAAAACATTGACTGATATTATATAACAAATATATGGTTTTGAAACCAAAAACCTAAGTATCAGATATTGCACAGTATGTATGCTGTTCCTAATATTGCCATTTTTTGTAGCCCTGATGGTGTGATTTCAGAGATCTTCAACTGCTTATAGTAATGTGTGAAATTTTTTGATATTGTTCCTAAAGCCCCAATGACTATGGGGAATCACTGAAGTGTGTTTCATCCACAAGCAAAGATGTTTCAATTGCCACCTCTCTGTACTTTGTTAGGTTTTCCAATTCTTCATCTTCAATTCTGGCATCCCCTGGAATTGCAATGTCAATGATCTGTACATTTCTTTGTTCTATTACTATGTCTGGTGTGTTACGTTCAAATTTTGGATCTGCAAACCCCACAATATCTTGACTTCCTCATTTTCTGACACCTTCTCTAACTGATGTTTCCATGGGTTTTAGGAGGCTGTTGGGGGGGAATTTGTATTTTTTGCATAATGACCTGTGCTCTAATTTTGCTACTTTATAATTGTGTGATCTGTTTGTGCAATCTTTTGAAATTCACAGATGAGGTATGACACAGTTTTATCTTTTTCTTGGCAGAGTTGACATCTGCTGTTAGCAATAATTCCTTGATCTTAGCTTTTATCACATTGGTTCGGAGTGCTTGTTCTTGTGAAGCAAAAATCAAGCCTTCGGTTTCTTTCTTAATGGCCCCCAAATTTAGCCATGCCCGTGTTGAATTGCTATCATGCTTTCTGTCAATATTTCTCAGGTGTTGTCCATGTAGTGGTTTATTTTCCTAACTGTTTAATTTATTTTCAAATTGTTGTTTCTTATATTGAACCTTTGTTTCTGTTGTTTTCAAAATTTTCTCCATTTTAACCATCTTAAGTATTTTTTTCTACTTGTAGTAATATAATCATTCAGGCTTCTTTTTTCCACCTTTATTACCTGCTGTATGTGCAGTAATCCACAGCCTCCATTTTCTGTCCACATCATTTTTTGTGATTTAGTGCATGATGGATGTTCATTAGTTTCCATGTTTTTCAATCCAATTCTTCTAAGTCATTTTAGGTCTAATCTATTATTCCAGCTGAGTAGCTAATTACTGGAACAGCCTATGTGTTCATGGGTTCGATTTTATTTTCCCCATTTAAATTTGATTTTAAGATTTCCCACGGTGTTTTGATATATGCTCTTTCTGTCAGTTCTTTAACTTTTGTGTGCAAAATGTCATCTGCTTCTAATATTCCAAGGTATTTATAATTTTCATCACTTGATAGTGATTTTATAATATTGCCATTTTAACTGTATTTCATCTAGGTTTTTTTTAAATCTTGCCATGGTGCATAGACAGAGCTGCACATTTGTCAATTCCAAATTTCATTTGGATATCTTCAATAAATATTTGCACTGTTTTAACAGTGATTCTATCTCTGTGGAACTTTTTGCATATAGTTTTAGATCATCCGTGTATAAGAGATGATTTATTTTTCCAGCTTGTTGTGAAATATGGTAGCCCAATCCAGTTTTATTTAAAACTATTGACATGGGGATTAGTGAGATGTTAAACAGCAGTAGTGAAGAATCCCCCTGAACATTCCTCTTTTGATGTTAACCTCTCCAATTTCTTCACCATGGGCCACTAAGATGGTTTCTCATTTTTTCATGTTTTTCTTAAGGAACTTCTGAATGTTTTTACTAATTCCAAACATTTTTAGACAGGTTGTTGTTGTTATCCAACCACATTTTAGCCAGCCCTAAGAGAGAAATAATCATGAGATAAAGCGAAGGGGTAGCAAGTGACCAAAGGCTTTGAAGACAAGACATTTGGGACCATCTTCCTTCAAGCAATTTACACTACTGTACACTCATGTGATGTTAGAGTTCATGAGTTTGCAGTTCACCTCAGATCATATCACCATTTTGTGGCTCTGATGTACCAAGGGGACAAAGAAAAGCCTGCTTTATTCCAATGACTAGTAAAAACTATTGCATATCTCATGCTATTACAAAAGGAATAAACATTCCTTTTCTTTAAAAAATGCTGACCTGAAAGCACATATTTTAAATTATGCATACTACGTAATTGTGAGCCATTGTGGTATAGTGGATAGAGTGTCAAATTAGGACTCAGGAGTCCTGGGTTGAGATTCCTCTTTGACCAAGGAAACCATCCTTTATATTTCTCACATATCTCGAAACCCCTGTTTGGGTCACCATAAGTCAATTGCAAATTGACAGCATGTAACAACATTATGCAGCTAAAAAATACCAGTGGGGGGAGGGACAGGGTTGATTTTTGGCAATTCTGTCTCCTTGCCACTCTCCTCTATGCCCCCAGATCTGCTCCAGGGGAATCAGTTCTAGGAACTGAAAAGCAATTAACTGGATTTGTGAGTTTCCATTGAGTAGCCTTTTTGCTACTCAGTAGGGATGTGAAGAAATTTTGCCAAATTTTTCATTTTGGGTTGAGGCAAGCTTTCTTTACACATTGAGACTGTCTGATAAGAATTGTCATCAGCAACCTTGCTTTACCTCAAGCAATCTTGCTTTCACTGTGAGAGGGAAGCATCTCACACATTTTCCACTCATGCTTTGTGTACCTTGTCCAAAACAGCTTCAGCTGTATTTCCTCTCATGAGCAAGCACTTAGAATGAGTTGAAAGGAACCATGTAGCAAGCCACCCAATGCAACTATTTTGTTTATTATCTGTACAAAAGGGCAGCAAATATCCTAAGTTTAACTTCTGTACATTACGAGTAGTTCAGAAAAACTGGCGTTGCTAATACACATTCTCTCCTAAGTAGACAAGTATCTATAGCTCACAACGAAGATGGAACCCCTCCCCCCATTTCTCATTTGGTAATGGGGAAGGATGATTCAGATCACAGTCTATAGCCCTGCTGCTGAGAACAGATACACCTCTTCAAAAATGCATGCATTTCTAAGGTTTATAGGTCATTTTAGAGAGCAGAGTAGTCATCTCAGAAGCACGCTGTAGTCAATGGGAGAGAATGCATGTGTTAGGCAAACTGAATAAGTGCATGCATGCATTGAGGAAAAACGCACAAGAAAATGCAGGTAGATTTGGAAAACACAGAACTCAATCAAGATTGACTCTTTGCTACATTCCTAGCTAACCATCTGTAGCAGATGGGTTGGGGGAAGCTGATGGAGGGGGACATTACCTAAAATAGTTTCCTACCCATTTTACTGGTGGTTGCTTTCAGTCAACATTGTGACTACAGTCACTTACAAACCCCTATTTACCTCACATTCATTCTTCCAAATAACCTATAGCAAGGTATATATAGTTCCCAAATGTCCCCTTATTTGAACTTCTGAAATGTATCTTTCAGACCACTATCTAAGTCCAACTTAGTCCATCCATCTATCCAGCCAGCCAGCCAGCCAGCCATCACTTATCATCTCTCCATGCTACCATGGTTTTAAATGTGCAAACTGACTGCATTTTAAAATAATTGTGTTTGAAGGGACGTAGAAATCTGTTGTCTGGTGCTTGACTCTTATGGTTATTTACACATGCAGCTTTAGACATATCAAACCACAGAGCTTGGAAATATTACATTTTTAGACTACAGCTGAAAAAAATTCATCAGTTACTGGTCATGCTGTAGCCCAGAGCAGAGGTTTTCTAAGCTCTGTCACACAATAAAAACATGCATAGCCCAAATTCCGTAGTTCCATGCATTTTTGTTATGCTAAATTAGCTTGACGTTTTAATTAAAAAATATTTTGCTCCATAAGACGCACCTTTCCATAAGACGCACCAATTTTTAAGGAGAAGAAAACAGGAAAATATAATTTGTTTTCTTCGCTCCATAAGACGCACAGACTTTCCATCCCCCTGTTTTGTGGGGGAAAAGTGCGTCTTATGGTGCGAAAAATACGGTAACTTGTGGATTACAATTTATGCCTAACAAAATTTATTATTTATTTATTTATATATCAGTATATATTTATCACTCCCCAGCCCACCTCTCCCAGCCAAAGCTGACAAAGTAATTTGGAATAAAATGCTTAAAGATCGTGTTTAAAAAGTCATTTAAAAGAATTTTCCAAAGAAGCCAGTATTTCTGAAAAACAGATTAAAAATAATTCCAAAGGGCAATTTTAAAACCAGCTTTAAATACCAAAGTCAAAGTAAAGCTCATTAAAACATTTTATATGAATATTGTTGTTATTTCCTATAAAGAGCAGTCTATACAGCAGTTGTGCAACTAAATACGATCAAAAAGCATGCCAGATCTGTTTGAAATGCTTTCAACAAAAAATAGTAAAATGGGTTCCTTGCCTCTAGGGATCTCTGCCTTCCCCACCTCTTTGTCAATATCAAATTGATGTATTCCTATAAGAACAAAATATACGTGAAGTAAGAGCAAAAGAGGAGATGTTACATGAGATACATTTTATACCTGCAATATTCTGCATCCATTTCCTAAATCCTAGCGGGCACTTGCCATTTTCTGATGACGACCACAGTTCTGATTGACAGAGCTCGGCAAAGTCGCTTTTGGGGACCAGGGATCCCAGGATCCTTCCAATGAACATGACCCAGTGGTCCTGCTGACAGAGGGGTTCTAGCAGTTGTGGCCTGAAAACAAAACTTTGCCAAGTGCTATTTCACAGCTATCGGCCAAGCCATGTAATTTTGTTGTATTGACAACCTCTTGGCAAGGGTTGTGAGGAAGGCCTTTAGTACAAAAACAAAACAAAACAAAAAGCCCAAGGGCTGCACAGATGCATATATCCATATCTACTGAAACTTGTGAAGAGAAATTAGGTCACAACAATGGCAACAAAATATTTTTTTCTGAAGTATACGTTCATAAAGTTCTCTTCATTCCATACATCAGTTTTTATGGAACCCTCACTTTTTACGCATGAAGACCACCTTCTAACATCACAAAATCATCTCCTTTCTTGAGTGATAAAAGCCATGTTCCAACCGTCATGAAGCACTTTTAAGCAGCACTGCATTTCAATCTAAGGAATTTAAGCACACTTTTAACCTCCTCTTTGAACATGAAAGTGCTTTGCTTTGGCTGGATTTCTCCCAAAGTGTTTTAAGTCAATTCTGAAAGTGAGTTTGATACATTGAAGAAATCTGGGACACTGAAAAACAGATCTGGTTCCATGCTGAAATGAAGGGATACACTTCACCTCAATTCCACAACTACTCCCCTCGCCACATGTAGACCCTTGTAATATGTATTTTGGTTCTGAAAACTCATTCAAACATTCTGCTACAATCCTTTAAAATTCCAGCACTGCATCATATAGCCAGAGTCATGTTACGCACCCAGTTGTACAAGACAGGCGGTACTATTTTACAGATTGGGCTCTGACTGCAGCTATTTGTAGCCTGGTTCTAAAGGTTATTAGCAGACTAAATCAGTCTTCCCCATATAATATCTAAGAGTAGGCAACAAATCAAGGAAGTGAATTATGCCATGTCTCGCCTCCAACATCTTTACCACTTATAATGTACACAACAACCAGAGTATCTGGTAAGTAAGCAAGTGTCCTCTGCTCTCAGCTATTATGTTTGAGCTGAATAAGTCCTAGTTATGTTCTCAAATGAAACTGCATTCGAAATTTCCCATCCCAAGATTTGTATTTCTTGCAGGCAGACATGTGAATTGTATGGTAGAACTGACAAACCAGTGGCATTTATATATTAGTAAGAAAATTCAAATCCTGGCCACTCTCTTTGGTACTGAACCTTTCCCATTTTAAATTTCAGTACTTATTCAAATGTTTATGATGAGTCAGAAAGTTAATCTATTAGTACACCATGTAACACGGCTGCAGCACCACAAGAAACCCAGGATAGGTGATGTACTCCTTCCGCTTGATTCCCTGCCGTTCGAATTTGGCATGGCAGAAATGGACCCAATAAAAAAGGAATGGCTGCAAAGGGTTGGGTCCAAAATGATGGTTGGATGCAAAGCTTCTTTTCCATTTTCAGGAGGCAAGCTTTTTCTAACAGAAAGGCGATATACAGCCAAACCATTATTGTTTTTAGAAATGTAGCATTTAGTAATGTTTTTCCTCTATAAACAATGTCTTCTTAAAGCTAAATTTAGATCTTCCAGAATTTTCTCTTTTGAAGTAATCAGGGTAGCAGATATGGCTTTAGCCATCTTCTAAGCTGATAACACAACAAAGCGCTTTATGTAAAACACAAATGCAAGACTAGGTGATACCTTTACAGATCATTGGAAATATCATCATAAAATATGCAAGTTTTCATGGATCAAGCCCCACTTCATCAGTCTTGTACCAGTGTGAAGAACTTAAAAGTCCAAATGTTCATGGCATGATGGATTTTGTTAGGAAACGTACTCTTACTTTGTGTAAGTTTGGCATCAGCACCTGATGCCATTTGCTTAACTGCAGGTTATTCAAGTAAAATAGATGTTTAAGTCAATACTTGAAAAAATTGAAGACCTCTCCTCTAAACAGATTTTGGCTGTAAGGAAGTTGGGGGTTTGCTGTGATAACTACATTCAATATAGCAACAAGCCGTCTTTATCTTCTAAGAATTGCTGTGAGGATTAGTAATGTTGCATCTCATGAAGCCTCACATGAATTTGAAAACTAATTCTCATGCATATTATATCCAAATTGGATTAATCTAATTCTGTCTTTAGCTTTCAAACACTGTTGCTGCAAAACCTGCAGTTTGGCCCAATATTTGAAAACTAAAATTATCTTTTATGCCATATGCAACAGAAAACAGCACACGAAGCACACTTCTCCAAATTCAGAATACTCTTTGGCTCACAGTTTTCTCTTGTGCAGCACAATCCCAAGTGTGATTAATTTGAAATAAGCCCCGAAGAATGTGGTGGAGCCCATTCCTTCGTAGGTGTGTTTATGATAACTAATAAAGCCATTTCGAAAGGCTTATAATTTAGATTATAGACCAGTGAAGAGTAAAGCTAGATAGCAGAATTTTTAAGAGTTTGGGGTAAAAATATGTCAGTTACTAGAATCCCATCTCGATGTAAGAACTCAATGTGATGCCATTATTTTAATGTATTTTTGTCACAAACCTATGTTGAGGTTGAATGCTGGTAAATGCAGTTCTGAGAAGACACAGAGTTCATTCAGTTATGAAGACACATAATGTGGTATACTCTTACTCAATTGCTGTTAGCAAGGGTATACAATGGTTAGTACTTGTCTCATTAGCAGTTTCAGTTTCACACACATAGCATTTGAGGTTCTTCCTACTTCTAATAATATATCTGCACTATTCACTTACATCAGTTTGATGCCACTTTATTTATTATGAGTGTATCCTGAGGAAACTTGGGACTTGCAGTCAAATAAGCTAGTTAGAATTCTCTGTTGAAGATTTCTAATGTGTTTCCCCAAACTGCACCAAACAACTGTAAGCATTTGGGTAAACGCTTGAAGGACTGGTGTGTAGCAGGTGAAGCAGATGTGTTTTGCTGCTCTTGGAGACAGGCCATGAACCAAGAAAGGAGATTTCAATAGAAGAAGACAAGGGACTTCAATAAAATATTAGGTGAGACTTTCTGATGGCAAGAACATGGCAACAGACTGCCTCAGAAGGTGGCAGATGTTTCTTCTCTGGAAGTTTTCAAAAAGAGGGTGAACAGGCCATCAGTGATGAGTTACTTCTGGATTTCTTCTGTCACCGAGGGATGTGGACACATAACCCTTGCAGACTCTTCCAGCTCTGCAATTATATGATTATGTGAAATTAAAACTCCTAGAATTTGTTAGGTTTTAGCTACAATTAAAATTAAAAAAAATTAAAATAGTATCATACTGTTGGTATCAAATGACACTGTGTAGTTCAGCAACTCCTCGTGATGGTACTCATTGTCATCAGCTACCAAATCACCCATGGGGGCAGGACTGATCTTCCTGGTAGAAGCACTGAGTGGTCATCAGAGCATTGAGCTGAAGCTGAATAGAAGGGAGAACCAAGCTGAGCTTCAGTGGCTCTCTGTGTGAATAGTTTATGTTTCTTTGTATATATTGCTTTTTTAAAAAAATTAGTAGCTGTAGAGAGCTACCAAAATACAGTGGTGCCTCACTTAACGGGTGCTCCGTTTAGCGACAAAACCACATAGCGACAAAGATTTTGCGATCGCAAAAGCAATCGCATTGCGATGTTTTAAATGGGTTTTTTTCGCTTTGTGATGATCAGGTCCCTATTTCGCCTACCGATCATTGCAAAGCGATGATTTTAAAACAGCTGATTGGTGGTTCCAAAATGGCCGCCGGGTTAAAAAAATGGCCACCTACTGTGTTTAGGGATGGATTCCTCACTTAACAGGCAGCAAAAATGGCCGCCGTATGGAGGATCTTCGCTTTAAGGTCAGTTTTTTGCCCATAGGAATGCATTAAACAGGTTTTAATGTGTTTCTATGGGCTTTTTAAAATCGCATAGCAACGAAATCGCTTAGCAGCGATTTTTGCTGCACAGATTAATGGCGCTATGTGAGACACCACTGTATCATCGTCGTTTAGTCATTTTGTCGTGTCCGACTCTTCGTGACCCCATGGACCAGAGCACGCCAGGCCCTCCTATCTTCCACTGCCTCCCAGAGTTGGGTCAAATTCATGTTGGTAGCTTCGATGACACTGTCCAACCATCTCGTCATCTGTCCTCCCCTTCTCCTCTTGCCTTCACACTTTCCTAACATGAGGGTCTTTTCCAGGGAGTCTTCTCTTCTCATGAGATGGCCAAAGTACTGGAGCCTCAGCTTCAGAATCTGTCCTTCCAGTGAGCACTCAGGTTTAATTTCCTTTAGAATTGATAGGTTTGTTCTCCTTGCAGTCCAGGG